AGGACCCCCAAATAAGGTACCCCTAATTTTCGGAAAGTCCCATATGATGTCATAGCAGTACATAAGAGAAAGTACTTTGGCCGTGTTCCTGAATCCCGCCAGTCCATGACATGAGGGCTTTCATTAAGGCCTTTTCATCTTCCCTAGAATCCCTAAACCCTAAACCCTAAACCCTAAACCCTAAACATCTTCCCTAGAATCCCGAAGATGAACATCCCCTTCTAACCCCTCTGATGAGAACGGACTTTAGGCTGTAAACTTAGGGGGCTGAGTACCCTGGCCCAAAAAAAGGTTAACCTTTTCAATAGTAGTAGGATTATATGAGCCCCAAAAGGTCAAAGGTTATCCACTCAGCTACTAAGTAAAGGAACATGACTACTAGTTACTCTGACTCCTGTCCCCACTACGCATGTAGTGCCCTGAGGGCTCTAAGCAGCTTAGCAACTGATAGGATGGCTCAGTAATATGGACATGCAAAAACTCACAAGAGGAGAAGGGTTTAGGGTTTAGGGTTTCCAAAGTAACTTGACCAGGGCCTACGAGGTCTCTACCTGAACCTCTGAACCCCACATAAATCCAACTTATTGCGACATAAACAGGAAGGTTTCGAGGTGGCTTCTGGGCTTCTGAACTGGCTGCACCTGGAGTCCTTGCATTCCCAACAAGGGTCTATGTACCTACGTAGTATGTACTTCGGCCTTCAAAGGATTTCTTATGGTCGCGTCCGGGTCAAACTATACATGTTTTGCCGGGTGTCGGATTCCCGGGTGTGTTTAGGATTTGGGGGATGTTATATCGTGTGGTAGTAATGGTGTGGGAGTTAGGCTATACGTAGGGACGGGCTTGAGGAGCTTGACAGCAGAAATCGATGACGAACGTTTCCATGGTCGTCTTCGACCTACGCGCCAAAGGGTGGATCCGCCTGCGTCCCCAAGTACTTCGTACAAAGAGGACCCCAAGCTTGGCGTCCTCCAGGCGTGAGGAAGAGCTCCACCATGCCCATTGTAAGATAACGATAACCCAGTATCTAAATGAATCCTTTCAAAATAAACCCTAAACCCTGAACCTGGGATCTTCTTGAACCCTAAACCCTAAACCTTGAGCCCTAAACCCTAAACCCAAAACCTTGAACCCTAAACCCAAAACCTTGAACCCTAAACCCTAAACCCAAAACCTTGAACCCTAAACCCTAAACCCCTGTAACAACCCCATATACCGAAAGCCGCAGACCCCCAAACAGAAAGAACGGTGCCAGGATCCCGGGCAGAATCTGTACGTGCCGTTTGGGAGGCGCCTGGGGGCTTAGGGGTTTGGGTTTAGGGTGTAGGGTTTAGGGTTTAGGGTTTATGTTAAGGTCCAGGGTTTCTTTTTTAAGTGCGGTGGGCCTTTCGGGAGGTTCCTGTTAAGGTCCGGTTTTGGACTTGCTGTCGAGGTGGGATTACAAGCGGGGTCGTTATTCAGGGTTTGCCATCAAGGATGTATGTGGTCCAGTCCCAGATTGTCGGAGTTAATAGGGTCTGAAGCGACAGTCGTGTGGCGACATCCGATCCGTGCCAAATCCTGAACCCTAAATAAATCCCTCAACGTCGAAGCCGAAGCCGGAAACCCTAAACCCTAAACCCTAAACCCTAAACCCTAAACCCTAAACCCTAAACCCTAAACCCTAACCTCTATATAGACCTTGAACCCATATGCTGTCCCGGCGGCAGCTGGAAGATTGCGCCGAAAGTCAAACACTAACAACCTAGACCTTGAAGGGTTTAGGGTTTAGGGTTTAGGGTTTGGGGTTTAGGGCTTACCCTGCACCGTGAATGCTGTCTTGCCAGCCTTGCAGCATTGAGGAAGAGGGCCGCGCAAGCAAGGCGCTGCAACTTTTGGACCTCGCAGCCCGAAGTCGGACTGGTTTGGGTGTTAAGGTATTTGCTACCTTAGCCCCGCAAAATCTACATCCTTAAGGGTGTTTACAAGGAAACCATATCGAGAAAGGACCCCTAAACAGTTAGGTTAGTTGGGGTTCAGGTAATGAGTACTGTAGGTGGTGATCATTGTGGGGGGGGCGCCTGAAGAAATGAAAAGGTTTGGGGTCCAAGTATATAAGACTATAAGGAGATACTGTCGATGATATAAATCCAGCATTACTTTAAGGACCCTAAAATATGGGGAGTTATGGTATATTCCTTATTCTGGGTAATGCAGAATTTATGTCCTCAAACCGTAGGCACACTAATCGTTCAGACCTTCATGTTTTCAGTAGGGCTATACGACTCAGGTTTAGGGATCGGTTTAGGGTTTAGGGGTTTCGGGTTTAGGGTTTATAGGGCTATACGACCTAGGTTTCGGACACTCGCAAGGCAGTTTGGCATTGGGGCTTGGAAGGGCTTGGCGCTTCAGGGCCTTGAACGAAGGCTTTTCCGTTTTGTGCTGGCTTTGATGAGAGGACTTTTTGAGGGTGAGCTGAGGGTTTGGGGAGGGTTTGGAGCTTGAGAGCTGTCGTTTTCATGGGGCTTCTATGATGCATTGAAGGCATCTTCTAACACCCTAAACCCTAAACCTCTAAACCCTAAACCCCCAAACCCGCAACCCTAAACCCTCAAATGCTACACCCTACACCCCTAAACTCCTAAACCAAGCCAGGAACGCCTCGCTGCCACAACTCTCCTCCGGAAGATTAAACCTTGGTGTCTGGCTTATGGCTTAGGGGCTTGGGGGTTGAGGGTTTAGGGCTTCGGGGCTTTAGGGTTGACGGTTTAGGGTTTAGAGTTTAGGGTTCGGGGTTTAGGGTTTAGGCTTTAGGCTTCAGGTTAGATGCTCTACTTGCCAGAACCTTACTTGTCCAGCTTTTTTAGGGGATCTACAGGTAAACCTGCTGGGACTAAATGAGGAAGACACGACCCCAAAAAAAGACGAAACGGTTTAGGGTTTAGGGTTTAGAGATCCGAGCTTAGGAAGCCTAAACACTGAATCCTGGACGGCTTACAGCTTTAGAGCCTTGGATTTTGCAGCTCGCTGCTTCGGCTACGGCTATGCTACAGAGGTCGGAAGCATCAGTATAGCCCCTGCATAGTTCTCATATAGTATATCAGCATATCGCCAAAAAAACCTTAGTCTAATTCAAGCGGGCCTCCATGTTCGAACCCGCAGAGTAATCCTTGTCGCAACCTTTGTAGTTCGAAAACCCTCATAGAACCCTTTCAAGGCACCCTTACAGAAACCCTATAAGGCCCTTTAATACACCCTCAGCGCTGCTGTTCCGGGGCATTCGCTGATGCCCACTGGTGCCCCGCTGGCCCACAGCGTGGTCACTGTGACAATCTGCCTTTCACAAGTTGCCCCTTCTATCATGTGGGTAGTTGTCAAAATGATGGTCCCTTTTTGGGGTACCCTAAATAATAGGTGCCGTATTATAATAGGGACCCAAAAAGGGACCATAATTTTGACAACCACCCATGTGTTTTGGCACTGCTTCTTCTTCAATGAGATCAGATGTCAGCAGCCAGCGAGATCGGCTCTTGCTGGTCGTCTGGGTTGGTCCTTCCCCACAGGTGAAAGCGATGCTCATGTTCTTGCCCGACTGCTCATGCTTGGTAACATTCGCTGCGCTGAAGTCAGGCACCGCCGTCGCAGATCCACTTGGAATGTTCGCGGTGCGGAAGCTGCTGCCTGGGCAGCTGAAGATGTAGGTTGAGCATGTGTGCTTACTAGTTTTTTGTCGTGTGTGTGTGTGTGTGTGTGTGTGTGTGTGTGTGTGTGTGTGTGTTCGCTCATGCATGAGTCAAGTTCACATTTGCCGGGCATGCCTCCTTGTGGGGATTGTGCCAGAGCTCTCTTGTTTTCGCTCCCACCTGGTTGCGCACCACTGCTTCTAGCCCTGTGACAGGTTGGCCCTCCACCCCAATGGTTTCTTTTTGTGGTGTGGTGTGGGTGGTTGTGGGTTGCTTCCCCCTTCCCTGTGGGTGGTGTGGTTGTGGTGGTTGCCCCCCTTCCGCCCCCAATAGCCCCTGTGAACCCAGAACCGGGATCATGTATACATATGTCCCGGGCGTTCAATCTCGGAGCAAGTTGTGAAGCGTGCCCTGGTGATGATTAGTTGGGGCTAAAACGGTTTGTTTGATTAGAATTGGGATCATCAGAAGTTTTTGTATTCATACCGTCATCAACATCACCACGGCTATGATCTGCGTCATCATTGGCGTCACGCAAGCGTCACCATTAGCACCATAATCCTTGTGATCATCGTGTTTGTGGTGATTCGAAGCGATTCCAATTGCTAGTAGAGCTGTTCTTAACTGTTGCTGATAATGCTAGACGACTTCCTCCTGCCAGTACTAACGCTGATATTGCCCTTGATCTGAAGATGAATCTTATCCCAATCGGATGGCGGCGACAACAACAACGGCGACTACAAATACAACTACAACACCCGCTACGAGTACCACTATGTACCACTGCGACAACACTAGTTGTGACTGCTACAAGTCCTCCCAATGCCACTCTGCTCCTGGTACACTTATGGCTGCCACTCTTGTGAGGGTGATCCGTCGTTTTCTGACACTCTTCGTGCTGTATCGGCGGATCAATGCGCCTGGGTTGCAGCTGCAAGGTTTTCGTTTTGACTCACTTGGCCCTTTGAAGCCTTTCTGAAAGCACTCGAGAACAAGATTCGAAAACACCATATCCGAATAAAACCCTAAACAACACTGTAAACCCTAAACCCTGAACATCAGATAAACTCGAGCGCTTGCGAACGATCCGCTTTTCGGCTTCGGAGTTTTCAGGGGCCCCGCTGAGTTGGAGCGCTGCGAGGTTCGGGTCGAGGCCCGCAACCCTAAATCCCTAAACCCTAGACTTCGCAGAAGTAAACTGAGTTCAGGATTTGGGGTTTCAGGCTTAGGGTTTAGGGTTTAAGGTCTAGGCTTTAGGGGGTTGAAGTTAGCCCCAATGTGCCAACAGTTTACTAGGCCAAGGGGACTAAACTTTAGGGCTTGTCCGCGCCGAGCAGCTTGCTGAGATACATTCCCAGCTGCTGTTTCACGCGGAGCGCACGGTCGAGCAGCTTGGCATTCCTTTGGCGTTCAATGCAACCCAAACTCTGCGTGTCACTGAACACCAAACTCTACCTTAACCCTATAAAACCTTCCTATTTTAGGGCTCCTTATTCTGATTTCTTTATATAATGTCCTTAAAAGGGTAGGTTCTCTTGGGGTCCAGGTATACACTAACCCACCACCCAGAACCCTTAACCCTAAACTAAACCTGCAACCTACCCACAAAAACCGCAACATCTGCTGCAAGACAGCTAAACCCTAACCCCTAAACCCTCAACCTATCCACAGAAACCGCAACATCTGCTGCAAGACAGCTGAGCCCGACCAAGGCAAAACACGCCGCGAGCCCCTGAAAAACCAGGAACCCGGTCTTCACCCCTGTAGTACCCCGTATAGAAGCCCTAAAATCCTAAGGGTTTAGGGTTTAGGGTTTAGGGCTTAGGGTTTAGGGTTTAGGGTTTAGGGAACCCCATTATAGAACAGAGCCCTACAGTAAACCTAAATGAAACCTTGAAGGTCCCGAAGCCTCGGCTGCAAAAAAGGCTCAAGAGGTGCCTCTTGGCCCACTCCTGGTCGCTTTGTCCTTAAAGCGGAGTTTCGCGGTTAGGGCTTAGGGTTTAGGGTTTAGGGTTTAGGGTTTGGGGTTTAGGGTTTAGGGCTTACCTTAAGTACCCAAAACCCACCTTTTTGCAGGTTCTTATTATAACCCCTAATATGGGATTTATAGGGACCCTACAAAAAAAAGTGGGTTTTGGGTTCTGAAGGCAGGGCTTATAGGGTTTCGGGTTCAGGGTTTNNTATAAAATTTATAGGGTTTAGGGTTTGTGGTGTTTAAGGTCTAGGTTTGCGGGTTTAGGGAAGGAGCGCTTCAGGAAGCTCAAGAAAGGGGGGGGACCCTAGACCCTAAACCCCCAGCCTCTAGAAAGAAGAAAGAAGCCCTCGAGCTGGTTTAGGGTTTAGGGTTTAGGGTTTAAGGTTTAGGGTTTAGGGTTTAGGGTTTAGGGTTTAGGGTTTAAGGTTTAGGGTTTAGGGTTTAGGGCTTAGGGTTTGCATGGGCTTTGCATAGGCTTTGTG